TGGTAAAATTCTGTAACCTGTGTATGCACAAGGTCAGACTACATGACCCTAATGCTGCCCATCAGAGCCCTCAGAACCGAAACTTCTATGAGTTTAGTTGGAAAGCTGCTAGAAAATCAGCTGGATTCATTTGTATGAAATCACATGGGATTTCTCTTGACAGGTTTCACGTGTAAATTGCCTGTGCCTCACCAAATAAACCCCAATTTCTCCTACTTCTTTTTTGGTTGCTATCTCTGGTGTGGTCCATCTAAAGAAATTACTCTGGCAAACACCTGAGGAAGTCAGCATCAGGGTTTTTGTTATCAGAGATCACCTATTCCTGATGCTGAATGTCTGCAGCAACGTTCAGGGTAATATTTGCTAATGTCAGCACAACAATCCCATGTTTTGCTTTGTTTCTCATTTATTCTCTAGTGCATTATTTTTTCTCTTTCCGTCAGAATTAAGAGGGCATTTCAGTTTACAGGAGGCAGCACAGCTGGTCCGTGTGGCTGCATTTGCCAAACCCCCAGACTTTTCAGAACACAAACTGCCTGAAGTTACCCTTCTTGTTTTGCTCTCCCAAAGGCTCTAGGTTTCCAATTCCCAGTGCCTTTATTTCTCCCAGCTGAGAGCTGGATCTGGTTTGTGGGTCCTGCAGTAATAACTGAACAGCGAGGGGCTCCTCCTTAAAGCCGGGAAGGGGAAAGGGAAAACGGGAAAGGAAAAGAAAAAGGAAAAGGAAGCTCGCACAAGCACTTCTGCCCAGTGCCCGGTTTCAGCGGGCACTTCAGGAGCATCTCTCTCTTATTTGTAGGCAGAGAGCGCCGCCTGCCGCAGGTATTACATTGAGTAAGATGCTTACAGCGCAGGCAGGAGCAACATGTAATGTTTTAACTTCAGATTTTTTTCAGCTCCTTAGATAATGAGGAGCTGAAGTCCAGGGCGCTAGAGAGTGCACTGATGGGATTACAACAGCTTGTTTAGGAAAAGGAATTAATTGCACGTTAATCCTCTTCTATTTCGATTTTGCAAACGTAAAGATTTTATCTTGTATCCTATAGCTTGTATCTTATATACAAGATTTTCTTGTTTCTCTTGTATTTTATATCTATGTCTCATATCATCTTATATCTTTAAATGTCATACCTTATTTTATTTTATTTTTCATTTTACTTTTGAGAAGTAGCACACTTTCAATTATCTATAATACTGACACCATTCAAAACTGTATGACCTAAAACGAGTACCAAAGATGCTTTTGTAACTTAAGCTTTTAGAGGATCATTTCAGCAGATCAAGAGCAGCTAGTTGCCGCTGTTATTCAGACAAAAATCTTAATTTACACCAATTGAGGGTATTAATTTTCTGTTTTAAATGGTGAATGGCAAAAAACCTCCACCCTGATCTGTTAAAAAATGATCTGTCTGTGAGTCAGGACCCTCTCATATGGTCTTGTAGACCGATCTGATCAATGACTGTCAGAGCCCCGAGGGCACTAATAGGCCCTAATGGCCCTGAGCAGCCAGTCTCATCAGGGGCCTCCCCTCCACACCCTGCCTGTTTTTAATCTGAGCCCTGAGTTGCAGTATCTGCTTGATCTGCCCTGCAGGAATGCTGATCCCTGGTTCAGCCACAGCCATACCCTGGCTACGTTTAGGTCCTGATCTGTGGACTCATGTCCTGGACCAATATTGGTTCTGTCTCATCACCATGGTCCTGCCTGGTCATCCTAGGGTTGTGTCTGATGATGGATATTTTTGTTTGACCTGATCCTGAGCTGTGGATTGACTTCTAAACTTGACTATGGACCTGCCTGGTCACCATGGACTTGTCTGGTGATCCAGGATCTTGGCTGAACCTCACTTAAAGCACCTAGCTCCAGAAAAGAGCTTCTCCATATTAGGTATCCCACATGGTACGAAGTGCAGAAAGCTGCATGTCCTGTTCCGTCAAGATTACCCCCAGAGTGCCAATAGGAACTATGTCAGGGGGTACCTTCATTGACACACACTTGTCTGAACCGAGGGGAGTCCATCAGATCCTATTCAAAAATAGTGCCTGTGTCCTGGAACTAGCTGGTTTTGGACTGCTGGCTTTTGTGACAAGCAACAGTCCCTTGCACAGTGTTCCTGTTGTTAGCGTCGAGACAAACCGGGATGGTTATATGAGGTGCTTTACTGAGGTGCCGGGAACCAGGGGTACGCACCCAAATCTGGTTCCGATTCCCGTTACATCGCGTTCGCAATTTATACACTAAGAATTTCGTAACTAATACATATTCAACACAGATTACATCATTGACTAATCCATATGCATCAAAGATTGCTACATCAATCTATTACGACATCAGCCTCTTCTGCGCTTGTGCCGCCCCCTCTGGTGGTCGCCCTGATGAAGTAAGGAGTCTTCCTCAGATGAAGTAGGAAGTCTTCCTCAGGTTGTCCTTTTCACCTTTCCTTTACTTGGCCAGGTCCCAATCGTCTTCCGGACGTTAGCATTCTCTTATCTTCACCAGGATGCTTCTGGTATGCCGTTTTTGGCTATCTTAAACTTAGGTTCTGCTTGGGTAGAGTTTTACAATACATACACCTATACTCCCCTCACCATGTGCAGTTATGTTAGCTCTTGCTACCAAGACTACCATTGTATCATGTAGTTACAGAGTAACTATGATACAAAACGGCAAAGTTACAACGTCTTCTATTATACAAAGCCTCACTATTGATTTATAAATTTCTCAAATATAATCACTTTACTATTTTATATGATTATTTTATTGTAAAAACTTCACCCTCTCTAACACTGTTGCTCAGGAGAAATGTCTGGAAAGAAAGGAACAGCTCTATCCCCAGCCCTGGAGACACGTGGTTATGCTGTTTCATGCCACCTGGCACAGGCTGCCCAAAGAATATCGTGCCTTTGGAGTAAATGAGGATGAACCAAAACATGGTAAGGCTCTATTTTTAATTTGTGATTTTTTTTTTGGTGTGGGAAGTCAGTGGAGTTGTATTCATTTAACCCCCTTTGGGTTTCTCCCACTTGCTATTGGGCAGAATAGATTTACTTTTCATGTCATGGCAGCTGGAAGTAGGGCTTTTTATTGTGAGCACTTAGAGCTCTGAGGTGGAACTTGTCTCTTGTAAAGACATCACCTGAAGGTGGCTTAGTGCTTCTGGAGTCTCTTACTGTGAGGTAAGAAGTCTTACATGGGAGGGAAACTGACTGAGGGGAGAAGCACTTTCATTGCAGACTTTGAGCAGAACTCCTGGGTGTTTAAAGCAGTTCTTGTGTGGTGAGATTACTCTGAGACCTTTATGACCACTTCAAAATCAGCTTGTTTGAGGCCCCATTGCCATGAGGAAGAATATGCAGAGATGCTGGGGCAGAGTCACCTGCAGAGGCTGACCTGGAGCAGGTTGGTCCATGGAGTGATTCAGGCCCAGAGGTCACCCATCTGACTGCTTGCAGGCAGCAGGTCTAGTTCTGGCAGGTGTCTCAGGGCCTTGCGCCATGGAATTTACAGCTTCCTCATGTTTTGAAATGATGGAGTTATTTCTTTAGGCCCTTGTGGTCACTGGACTGTGTGGAGACTAACAGGGTCTTGTGTTATGTCTGGGCTGTGTGATGGCATGACAGGAGACCTCCTGCACAGAGAATGGAGAAGCCACAGGCAGTGCAGCAGCCCCCTGCCTGCTTTCATTTGGCCAGGCTGGATTCCTGGTGGGATCTGGGTTAGCCCATGGAAGAGGTAAGAGCCTTTTCACCAGCAGATCCAAAGGCAGGTGCCTTCCTTCCCCCTTCAACATATTTTAAAAGCGCTTTGCAATGACCTTTGGTTCTTCTGCCATCGTGTGGCTGAGAGAAGGATGCAGGTTATCCACTGTGCATGGTAAGAGCTCTATTGCTTTAGTAGTGACACCTTAGTGGATAAAAGGTCTTTTAATAAGGATTGGCTTTGAGCTTTCTCCCTTGCCTCAGCTCTCTATCAGGGAAATAGGGATTTACAACACTCCCCGCCAGAGCAGGGGAGCAGTGGGAAGGGCTCCTCAGCTTGATGTGGAGGAGTTTGAGATGCCCATCCGAGCAGATTCTGGGATGCAGGACGCTGAGAGCCTCCAACAGCTGAGGTGTGCAGGGCGTTGCTGTGGGGGCTGGTGGGGAAGAGCACACACTATCTTCAACCACCCTAGAGATGCAGCAGTGCTTCATCCGTGCCCTGCATGGCTCCTGAAGAAAGGAGCTGAGTTCTGCCCCACTGGGACTGTTACAGAGCAGGGTGTTAGAAAGCCAAGTCAAGTGAATGCCTGCTAGCACAGCCCACGGGAGAAAGGAGCAGAGAAAGGTAAAAGCCATTCCTAGTGTCGAGGTTCTTGTCAGCAGTATCAAGGGGGCAAGGACTGCAGTGGGAACAGGAACATGTGTGAAAGCACAGGGAACAAGCCCTTATGGATGTGGTGGGGTCTCATTGCTGGCATCTCAATCTGTCATGCACAAATGGTCCTGATTAAACCACATGGGCACTGGTGCTGGTGCTTGTGTGTGTTTGTAAGTGGATGAAATCTGTGTAAGAATGCATGAATGGCTTAAATCATGTTAAATAAATAGCACTCGTACAAGTGCTGCAAGTCCACCCACTCCTAAAAAGGCACAAAAAGCAGATGGCAACTTCAATTTCCAATATTTATTCTTATTAAAACAGTGCTACTCAAACTGATTTATGGCAGTGATTTATGGCCTTGCAGATAGAACATATTAATGTAAGTAGTTGGAGTTACACTTTCATCACTTTTGTTAAAAGGAGGAGAGAGCAAGGTGGTACAAGAACATAATTTGTAAAGGGGGTGGGAGGGAGGGAAGGAAAGAGGGGGAGGACATTTCCTTCCCCAGCTGTGATGCACTGAAAGGAGAGGAGTGATGCAGCTGGGAGATGAATGCGACTGTCGGCTCCTGCCTCTCAGTACTGGCAGCACAAAAGTTGGATCTTCCCCAACAAGGACCTGGGTGAAAAGCAGGGGATGAGGAGCCATGTGGGCTGTCTTTTTGTATGCTGGGAGCAGGAGTTCTCCTGCTGTGTCTTAAATTAACCAGGTGTTGCATTGTTTTAGCTGTGGCTTTCTCCTAATCCCATTCCCAAGAACAGAAATGACGCTTCATGTTGTTAATGTGGAATTCCTCAGGGAACAGTGTGGGGAGCACAGGATACTGGAGCAGAGCACAAGGGTGCATCCAAATGTGCTGTGAGAACTACATGCTTTAGGCCTGATTCCTTCCTTCTGGAGCCTTTTACTGATGGATGCAAACTCCAGGGACTGCTTCTTCTGAAGGCTTGTCTGGAAAACAAACTCACTTTTTGGTGCTCCAGCTGTCGTGTCCACAGATGGCCCCAAACAGCAGATAAGAACATGGGCAAAGATGAGTCATGAGTTCTTCAACAGCAAGTACCTGTGAGTCCAAATGTGCACTTGGGCATCTTGGAGCAAAGGGAATTCACATCCCAGCTTGACTATGCAAGTCAGTGGTGATGTGGGGAGCAAAGCTATGCTGTAGCCTTCCCTCAGTTGAGAGAAAAGGTTCCAATTGCTCACAGCAGTTGGGGGGGAGAAGACTTAATTCGCCGGGGGAGAACAGAGGACACGACACCCACCTACTGCTTGAGCATGCTTTGCCCAGCACTCTGTGCAAGTTGCTGTCTTGGCACAGAAGTGGTGCCACAGGGTCTGTATTGGCCATTCCCAATGGAGCAAGTGATCCTCAGCTCTCCTAGGACTCTTCTGTCATTACACAAGGAAAAAGCAACATTGCTTCAGAGCTTCTGCTGTTTGCACATCTCCTCAATGCACTGCCTGATGGTAACTCTTCCCTATGGGGATTTTTAGATGAGTCTTACAAATCCTCCCTCACCTCCCCCCAGATGTTTTATTTTCCCTGCTATGTCTTCGTTACTTCCATTACAGTTTTCCCAGTGCTCCACACAAATAAATGCAGAGAAGAAGGGGGGGGGGGGGGGGGGGAAGAAATTAAATCAGGAGAATTCAAGGCAATTTTCCATTGCCTTACCCTAACATAAGTACCATAACAGGGTCACAAGCCAGGTTAAGTAAAATTTACAAGAAGAGCTACACTCCTGGATGCAGAAGCTGGAGTAAACAAATAATTTTTAGCAGGCTATTAAGTAAAGTGGATGCTAGGAAGTGAAGCATGACAAAGAGCAGCCTTAGAAGTAAGAAGTGAGATAGCCTCCCTGTGCTTTTGCCTAGCACACCACCAATGCTGATTGAGTCAAGATCGGGTCAGCTCCTGCAGGACTTTTCCCAAGGCACTAACTAATCACAGAATGGCCAAGGTTGGAAGGGATTACTAGAGATCATCTAGTCCAACCTCCCTGCTCAAGCAGGGTCACCTAGAGCTCAGGGGTATGTCCAGATGGCTCCCAAATATCTCCAAGGAAGGAGACTCCACAACCTCTCTTGGCAACCTAATCAGAGCAACCAGTCCCGAAACACTACAGACCTTCCCAGGCAGCACTTTTTATTTGCCAAGCTGCTCTGACTCACTCCAGTACATCCACAGCCACTCACCTACCAACCCTAATGCTACAGATTTGTTACTGGGCCTTAGGGGCACCACCTCAGGGACTGCTGGGACCCCTCTTGTCAGCCTTTGGGAAGTCAGTGGTCAGGTCCCCAAAGGTAGATTAGGGTTTAGATTTGTTCACTCACCAGTTCAGGTCACTTCTGTATCTTCTGACATTCCTTGTCTAGAGTGGGCTTGTGCTCCTCACTGAGGCTTAAAACTCTTTCTGTCCTTATTGTATTGAAACAGCATCACCTGTGTGGGCACAAAATTCTTGTAAGGAAAAAAAGCAAAACTGCATAGCTTTTGAGCGATGGCAGCTCCCTTGCCTATTCATATTCATGTAGTGCTTACAGCACGAGACTCAGTTTCATCCAGGGCAGCATTGTTTCAGTAACATGGTAAGTCTTTAATAGGTAGCACAAACCCCTAAGAGCAGAGGCTGATTGGTACCATGTTTTGGTCTTTTCTGCACCCAGGGTAGAGGACTGTCCTATAGAAATTTTCACAGTCTTGATGTGGCAGCTCCCAGTCAGACACCAGTGCTACAGTCTCCACAGTCAAGCTGGACACAAGAAACTTGGTTCATAGCACTGAACTGAGATACAGCCCAAGAAACACAAGTATTTATACCTAGTGGTTGATGGCAGCTTAAGTTCTTTGTGTGTTAGAAGGTGTCCAAAATTTTCTTCTTCAGGTTTTGTTCCATCCTGATACTCTCCTGTCAGAAAAGGAAAACAGTGACTATGCTCCAGCTGAAACACCTCAGACCTGTCTCCTTGAATTCAACCAGTGCTGTACCATTTCCAGTGTGATGGTACACATCTCATACTCAGTGGGGTGCAGCTCTGAGCCTGGGTTATACCCTAGGCCCACAAGGTAAAATACACAGGGAGCTCATGACATTGTTCATTGCAGGTTCAGAAATGTGCCTGTTTAACAGATGCTTTGCGCAGGGCATGGAGGAGCACATCTCAACCACTGTGCAGTGATTCACAACTGCCTGCTGGTACCCTCGTGCCAGAGGCTTTTGGCTAATTTCCACCCCTCTGCCACTCAGTGCATGGTCTGATTTACGCAGACCTGCTCCGAGTACATTTGCAGAGCTGTATCTGAAAAGGCTCATTCTGCTGTCTGACAGCTGCAAGGGTATAAAGAAGATACATGTTACCCACTCCCCTATTGCCTTCGTCTCACCTCTAGGACATTTCTTACTCAGTAGGCTGAATAGGTCCATTTTCCTGACAACCTCTCTTTCCTGGAACAGAAATGAAGCTATGCAGTGCTCCAAACCACATAATGAACTCTAAGTCTCTATGCCCAAACATGGAAGTATTTACATATATAAGCACTAAAAGCTTCTTCATAACTTACCCACTTCAGAAGGCGAAGGACAGCAGAGAGGTTGACCATGACTTAGCTTAAAAGCAGCTAAACTTTTCACCCTAAGGGCATTGCAGCTCCAGAGCCCCTCCCCAGCATTACAGAGACCTCGAGCTCTTCACAGAGCTTTTCACAGAGCACTTACTTACTGCACTGTGCTGCAGACAAGAGGCTCAGATCACTCAGCAAATGAAAATATCAGAACACGCTTAATTTAAAAGCTAAATGTAATATCAGGATGATGCTTGACAGTGTTCCTTTAATAAAAAGGTGATGTTATTTGCCCAAAGATTTATACCTTTCAAAAGAAAATTTGATACTTGATGATATCTCTTTTTTAAGTGCCTATGCTTTCCATTCTTGTAATCCTTTTACCCACTATAAAATCCCAAAGGCTGTATTAACTTGAATTAAACTGAGAACCTTTGATATGTTTCGGATTTATGCTGGAGACCGTGTTGATAATTCAGGGATGTTTTGTTACTGCTGAGCAGTGCTTGAACAGAACCAAGGCCTCTTCTGCACTTCACCCCACCTCACCAGTGAGGATGCTGGGGATGCACAAGGAGCTGGGAGAGGACACAGCGAGGACAGCTGACCCCAACTGACCCAAGGGATATTCCAAATGACATCATGCACAACATATAAAGCTGGGGAAAGAAGCAGCAAGAAGGGGATGTTTGGATTGATGGTGTTTGTTTTCCCAAATAACCATTACGCATAATGGAGCCCTGCTTTTCTGGGATGGCTTAATACCTGCCTTGATCATGGGAAGTGTTGAATTAATTCCTTTTTCCCTTTGCTTTTGTGTGTGGCTTTTGCTTTACCTGTTAACTGTATTTATCTCAGCCCATGAGCTATTTCACTTTTACTCTTCTGATTCTCTCCCCATCCCACCGGAAGGTCAGGGAGAGGGGTAATGAGTGAGTAGCTGTGTGGGGCTACTCACTCATGATGACAGCTGGGGTTAAACCACAACACATGGTTAAGTTTACTTACCCAAGGGACAACAGCCAGTCATGTTCCCCCCCAGCATCCTTGTGAAGTCAGCAGTGCTCTGTAATTCACCTACTCAAATTGAGACATAATAATCCACTCCTGTGACTTGATGAAGGACCAAGAGCAGAGCTAAAGGTTCACCCTGATTTTCCCAGCGGCCATCCCACAACACGCCACAAAACATGCTGTAATTCAGCTGTTCAAAGTAAAAGAAGTCAGTGTCACAACTTGGGCTAAAGGAGAGTAGAGCTCTTCCGCTGCTCTGTGATAATTACCTTCAATGGCTTTATTCTCTGGTTCTGGTGGGCTGAGCCTGCTTCACCTGTGAGGGCAGAATGTACAACCATCAGGGGCATCATTCCAGAAGACATTTGCATTCTGCGAGTCTTGAATTTCACCTTTCCTCTGTGGTGTATGGCCCTGTCCCCTCCAAATGCTGTCTCCAATGGGAAGCCAAACAGACACACACAAATTCAAGTTCCACATCTCCACCCAAGCTCAGCTGACATCAGTAACTACTTTGTTTCTGAATACCTCCAAACAGCAAAGAGAGCTCTTTGCCCTGCAACAGCACATTTGATGCCTTGTGCTGATGCATTGTACTTTATGACATGAACTTTGAGAGTGCCCCAAGGTTATCAGCTATAAAAGCGGCTAATATGACAGTGGAGGTTTATCCAAGCATTGCTCCAAGCCCTGAGACTGGCAGCTCATCAATAGGGAAGGGGCAGTAGGCACTGAATGTTTTAAATCAAAAACCACGTCCTTAAAAGAGGATACTAACAATAGCGATTCTTTCCCCCATCCCACTAGGGTGGGAGTGAACAAGTGGGTGCGTGGTGCTTAGTTGCCAGTTGGAGTTCAACCACGACACAGAGGAAGCCACTCGAACTGTAGCAGGCATGTTTAGATCCAGAGGAACGATGCCATTACTGCCAGGGTGACAGCAGGCTGCCCCTGTTCATATCTGGGACAGCCACATGGCAGGCATTGGGAACCCCTCTACACGTTCCAGAGCAGAGGGAAACTGAGCAACACCTCCAATGCCACAAAAACTTATCTACGAGGAACAGTTCACATACAGGTTACCACTGAAGTGCATTGCAGGGGAATGACCTCAGCTTGTCTGCCTCTTCCTACGCTCAGCTAATTTCAAGAAAGTGCAGCAGCATGGATTTCAGAGTGCATTTATTAAATCACCTAATGTGGTATGTCCTGTGTTGCTACAGTCATTTCACCTTAACCCTGCCGCATGGGAAATGTCTGCATAAACAACATAAGCCATTATAGTGTTGTGATGCATAAACCCACGGTGGAATGAGAGAGAACAATTAATGAGTATAAAATTTTGTGTTGTTTTTCAGTTGAAAAAGAAGCCTGGGAATTTGAAGAGCTGTTTTTTAAAAAGCTGCCTAGGATGTCAAGGGAGAAAACCAAAAGAAAGAAAAGAGAATCAGCCTTTTGCATGTGATTCATGCCTAAAAACACCCACGCAGCTCATCACATTGACCTCAAAAGACAGAAATGCTGCAACAAGATGCTTCCAGAGAGGGAATCCATGGGCACTAAACCACAGGGAACAAAGAGTCCATGAATTACCCACTCTTCAGAGCTAATCTGCTGAGCAAATATTAATACAATTAGTGCTGATCCCTGAGTCTCATTGTTTTCAAGATATACTGAATTTTTTGAAGGATGGAAACTTGTCACTGCTGTCAGCAGATCTGAGCTGGAGGGAAAAAAGGCTGAGAAAAACCTAATGAAACAAGGAACTGTTTCTTTTCTCTCTGTGTAAGCAAAAAGCAACTGGGTATAGCCAGAGTGGCAGAGATGATGCCTAGTGTTGCTTTCATCAGGCTGCTCCAGAGAAACTGCTCTCTTGGCTCTTGAATTGGTATTGCCCATCACTGCTTGCTCTGCTGTCTCAATCTGTCATATGTCAAGCTAGTCTAGATTTACCGAGAAGGGAAGGTCTGAAGGGCCTGTGCTCATTCTCTGGGTGCCAGCACAGTAACCTGTGCTCCTGAAGAATTTCATATGCCCCAACAGTAGCTCATCCCATCCCAGGCAGGAGGTTCTTCATGGCTCCCTAGAAGAGAAGAGGCTGTGTATTAGGGTATGACGTAGAACAATAGGCCACCCACTGTCTCATCTTTGCAATCCTCATTGAATCCAAACATAGATCTCTTTCTTCACCCCAATTACAAGGATAAAGAAGAAACCTACTGCTTGGGTACCTACAGATGAATCTGCATGAATACTTACAAAACTGCTTTCAACTTCTTTTCCCACTGCTTCATGTGATATCTGGTCAGTTTCTGACTTCTTCACATATTTTTGGACTTCTTGAAAAGTGACCCTCTCCATAGAGGTAGAATCACTGAAGAGTTTGCACAGAGACCTTCATTTCCTCGGTACACACCCAAGTTTGAAAATTGCAACCCTCAATGTTCAACCCAGCCAATTCTTGCTAAGAGACAAGGGTTATGCTGCAGCTATCTATTGTGTGAGTGTCATAACCGCTGGCTTTGAATACGTCTGACTAGAAACAATGAACAAGCTGAAATACACTGGTCCGGCTCTGAAATCCACAGCAAGCATATTGAAGTGTCAGCCATAGCTTCAACCCTTTGAAGATAAGCAAAGCCTCTGAATGCTCAGGCTAGCAGTGTCCTAAGATACTCATAACTAAAAAGAAAAATCCATACGGCAGCCCAAGCACTGAGTCCTCAGCCCAGCCCCCTCTGAACAGTGCACTTGGAGTTATTCTGCAATGAGACAACATGCACATCAGAACAAGCAGCTCTTGTAATTCATTTATACCTTATTTGCATCCAGGATAGGTTTTTTTCATATTCTTAACATTGTTAAACATAGTCCTTGGAAATTCCTGGCCTAATACTGATTATGGTTCAAAAATGATGTGTTCCTGAAGGTAAAATATCTTGTGAAAATATGGACAATGGCCTCACACAAAGAGTTGTGGTCAATGGCTCAATGTCCAGCTGGAGACCAGTAACGAGTGGTGTCCCTCAGGGATTGGTGTTGGGACTGGTCTTGTTCAACATCTTTGTCGCTGACATGGACAGTGGGATTGAGTGCGCTCTCAGCAAGTTTGCTGATGACACCAAGCTGTGTGGTTCGGTTGATACCCTGGAGGGAAGGAATGCCATCCAGAGGGACCTTGACACACTTGTGAGGTGGGCTGATGCCAACCTTATGTAGTTTAACTATGCCAAGTGCAAGGTCCTACACCTGGGTCGGTGTAGGCACAGCGACAGGTTGGGCAGAGAAGAGATTCAGAGCAGCCCTGCAGAGAAGGACTTGGGGGTGTTGGTCAATGAGAAACTGAACATGAGCCGGCTTCAGTGTGCGCTCGCAGCCCAGAAAGCAACCGTATCCTGGGCTGCATCAAAAGGAGTGTGACCAGCAGGTCGAAGGAGGTGATCCTGCCCCTCTGCTCTGCTCTTGTGAGACCTCACCTGGAGCATTGTGTGCAGTTCTGGTGTCGTCAATACGAAAAGGACATGGAACTGTTAGAACAAGTCCAGAGAAGGGCCACGAGGATGATCAGGGGACTGGAGCACCTCCTGTATGAAGACAGGCTGAGAAAGTTGGGGCTGTTCAGCCTGGAGAAGAGAAGGCTGTGTGGAGACCTCATAGAAGCCTTCCAGTATCTGAAGGGGGCCTATAGGGATGCTGGGGAGGGACTCTTCATTAGGGACTGTAGTGACAGGACAAGGGGTAACGGGTTAAAACTTAAACAGGGGAAGTTTAGATTGGATATAAGGAGGAAGTTCTTTACTGTAAGGGTGGTGAGGCACTGGAATGGGTTGCCCAAGGAAGTTGTGAATGCTCCATCCCTGGCAGTGTTCAAGGCCAGGTTGGACAGAGCCTTGGGTGATATGGTTTAGTGTGAGGTGTCCCTGCCCATGGCAGGAGGGTTGGAACTGGATGATCTTAAGGTCCTTTCCAACCCTAACTGTTCTATGATTCTATTCTAAAAGATGAATGAAAACCAGTTAGCAACACTCTAACTTATCAGTTTAAGCATTTTGTAAGAATTCATCTTTTACTTTCCAAATATAAACACTTTTAGCATTAAAAAATATTTGTACTGGATAAAAATCATAAGTGAAATAAAAATCTAAGTTTAAAAGTGCACCATAATGAGTCACACAACTGTCCGCCAGTCTTAATGCATAATTTCTAACAGGAGCTGAAAGCAAAGGGAAGAAAAGCAAGAGCAAAGCAAGGATGCAAGATGCTAATACTCTGTAACACCTTAAAACCTTTTCCACCCCTGCGACTGAGGCACATACAGTTCCTCTGTCTTTAGCAACACTAGGAGGAATGCCTTTCATTAATTGATCATTTTCCCCTTGATGGCATGTAAACCTTTGCCATCCGTGATGTCTCTTTGCAGGAAGATCTGTAGTTCAGCCCCTTGCTGAGTGAAGAATCACAGCCTTTTTCTTGCTTCCAAACTGTTCCTATCAGTCTTATTTGGTGCCTCCAGATGCTTGCAGTAGAAGAGAGATCAACAATCAGTACCCAACCACTGTCCCTATTCTGCTCATATATATACAAGCTGTGGGCATATAGATGAGATGCTGGAGTAGATATTGGATAGTGTAACAGAATAGATATTAGAATTCAGTGTAATAATAAAGTATTTTGATAGACTAATAAATGTCCCCCACCCAAGTCTTCACAAAGCAAGAAATCCCAAAGGTTTAGTTTTCAACATTTCTGCATGAAAACCAGTTTTAAAAGAGCAGAATTTCCTTTGACACACAAAATCTGACTTCTGCTAAGCAGTGCTGTTGAACAAGCACATTCTGAAGCACTTTTCCTGTATTGTTTCTTTCCGGAGACAAGCTCCGTGCTGTCCCCTTTCCAGGTGACGTCTGTTACTAGTGAGAGGATGTGACAGGCCGTTTAGAAGTTTCCTTTTTCACGTACTCAAGAAAGGATTGCTCTGAAGCTTGCCACAGTGAAGTGATTTCTTGCCATTTTCTCTCTTTGTGCTTAGCTGCAGGTTTCCACCTCTGGTCTGCAGCACCCTAGGGAAAATACATACTACTTGTAAGCTGTCAAGGCAAGGCAACTCACTGAAGGAAGTCATAATCAGGAGGCTTAAATTAGCTGTAGAGGGGACTGCACCTTCCCTGGAAAATACCGATTGAAACTGAAAACAGAGAGGGCAGCCCTGGATGTTGGTTGGTAACAGAAAAATGATAGAAGCAGCATTTTTTTCTTCTCCCTTCTTGCTTCTCTATATTTTGGTCTCTCTGCATTTTAACCAGGGCAGTGCAGTGACTTTCCTGTCATAGATGCTTGTTTTGGGTGGTTTACGTTATTTTTTTCCCTTCCTCCTTTTTTTTCTTCTCCTCATTGCCCCTTTTCCTTTTCTCCGAAGAGCTTTCTTGGACCGAAAATGGCAGCCACCTGCTTCTATTGTGAGGCTGCTCCCAAATGCGAACAGCCACTTTACTGAACACAACTGCCTTTGGGCAGAAGCAGCCCCAGCTGGGACTAAGATCTACAAGTGGACAATTAGCAGCCAAGTAGTGGACTAAAGCTGGTTATTTTTATTGCTGCCTGAGGAGATAGGTCAGACAAGGCAAAACATTAGTATAACCAGCAAACTGTAAGCATCTGAAGCTTCTGCAGGCTCTGAAATGCCTGCGTGCCACATTTTTGCACAGCACCAGGTAGCAGGAAGATGTTTTTCACATCATGTTTGTAGCAAGAAAGCAGGAAGCACTATGTTATTGTTAATATCAATATCTCAGCTTTAAAAGCCAATTTAGTATTTTTTCTTTGCTCACCATGTTATGATTTTTCTTTGCTGCCAGCACCACTGGTTGCTGACAATGCCAGAATGGCATCTTTCACTTGCGTGTGCTAAACCTACATCTCCAGAACCAGTCCAGAGGCACGGGGCAGGCTCCAGATGAGCATCTGTCAGAGGAACTGCTGCCAGAGGAACTGAAAAGGAGGTGGCCGCAATTTTCTTATGCTTCTTTGCACATCAGCACCATCAGCTAGCAGTGCTGTTTGGCAGAGCTGGGCTGCTCTGTGAGGTGAGGATCTTGTTGCAATGGAGAAGTAGCCTTAAGCTGTGGATATGCCAGTGTGAAACTGCAGTGCCTGCAGGGAATGATCTTCCTCATCAGAGACATTTGGCTGGACTTTGCTTCTTTCCAGTTTTCAGGCATGTTTGATTAGAGGAAATGGGACATTGGAGACAGAACCGGAACCTGCTTGCCTGAATCCTCCATGTACTGTTATGACTGCTCTTCAAGCCACAGTGACACCCCATGTAGTGTCAACCTGGCAGCCGAATTCCCAGAATAGATGCACGTGATTTTTTCAAAGCCTGTTGTGATGTCAGAAAACTTCCCTTTTTAGCTTTTGCCTCATCTATCAGCTAGACCTCGCTCATGGTTGCTGAGCCATAAATAGAGTCTAGTGGTTAACGTAGGCTAAGATTCATAAAATCATTTGAATAAGTTAAAGATCATTAAGAGGGAGCCTGAATATCCTAAATAGCTTTTATTGCCTTAACCTCATGGCATGATGAGAGGCATGAAAATGTGATGGAAATACACGATGCTTCATTGTAATGTAGGGAAGCTCTTCCAACATACTTTACATCTATCATCGTGAAAGACTAAAGGCACCAAGTAGAGATATGTTTTTACTTGGCCCAAAAATGTTGAAGGCTGAGAAGAGGGGACAGACAGGCGGACTTGTACACCGCTTCCAGAGCACAATTCACCTTCCCCTGAAGTAACTGAAATACCTCCTAAAGGTGGACTATAAGTGAAGCTTTGAGTGAAAGCTTCCTATGGAGGCACCTGAACCATACTGAAAGAGGATTTAGAGTCTGCCCACCTATATGTGCCTACAGCTTCACCAGTGAATCCCCCCAGCAGCCAGGGTCATGAGCACAAACTGAAACCCTCTGGGACTTTCTGAGGTTGTGCCAATTGACAGCGCACTGACCATTAGTCTTCCCAGACAGAACAAAAGCCACCTCACTTCTAACCATCTATCTAGTCAAAGTACTGAACATCCCTGCCACAACCAATGAATCAAAACTATCACGGAGTCCAAAGAGCTATCTGGCTAAGAAGCTGGTAGAGATGTTGTACATTTAAGCCAGAAGCATTTGCTGATGTTTCTTTCTAGTTGTTTACCACACAGCAAGAACATGCAATGACACAATACCTGCAGATACACTCACGTGCACCCACTTCTTCAGGAGCTGGTGAGCCCACCCATGGAACACCTATTGCTCTGGCAGCTGATAAAATCTTGCTTTGCAGTGTCAAATCCCCTGGAGAGGAAAAACCAAAACTTTAGGGAGTGAGCAAAATATTACAATCTCCCCGTCGCGCCACTGCCCGGCAGTGAAGCACTTTATCTTTTCTGTCTGCATTCACCTCCTTTTTCCTCAGCTCAGAAATGGCAGCTTTGCTTAAATACTCAGAAAGAAACCTTTAAATGGTGAATTTTGGAAAGCAGGAAGACTGCTTCTTCATGTGTAACTGCCCATGAAGCAGTTTGCCTTCTAAATCCCCTATTATGCAGGACAGAAAGCTTCTTCCAATTCCTTTACTAAATGTCTCTCTTTAAGGATATGTGCAAGGAGTTCCCCACCCTGCTCCCACCTCAGCCCCCTTTCATTCACCTCCTCACTGTTGCTGTAATTCATGTTATGCAATTCCAGATGACCCAGGACACCCAGTAACACTGAGCCAAGTGGAGCATTATGTGTGAATAAAAGGAGCTATGGAGCAAACCCTGATGCACCTCATGGGAAAACTCCTGCATGCAGCAGGCACATTTCTCCAGCACAGAGTCATGGAGCTGTGCTGCAGCACAAGAAACAGCAAAGGTCAGAGTCAGATGGGGCCTGGTATCTAAGATAGATGGGATTTGATTTATTTTTAACTGGTTTGTCAGTGGCTGGTGTCAGGCTGCAGTGAGCTACAGAAGACAGCACAGGTTTATAAAATTACATCTCTAGGATTATTTATCTCTGTGGTGGAAGTGCAGGTCCCTGCCTGGTGACTTTCATGTTGTTTCAGATAGGGATTCTTAGGAGATTTCAATTTCAGATTAAAGATTTATGAACTTTACGTTCGTGACAGCATGACAAGTTTGCAGGTGATCTGTCTGCAGGCACGCGGCAGCTGAGGGCAGAGCTATTTTAATCCACAGGGCTGTTGTTTTGGTGGTGGTTTTTGTGTGTGTGTGGGGTTATTTTTATTTTCCTTCTTCTGTTGTTTGGTTTTGGTGGTGTTTGTTTATTGTTTTAAAGAAAACAGGAGACTTGCACCTTGGAGATGTTTAGATATGTTCCTACAGTGGCAGTCAGGTTAAAAGTCAAAGTTCAGCACATTTACTTATCCAGTACACTTCAATATTATTTTTGCTAATTGCAGCTTCAGTGCTCTTTCACTTAAACCATACTGAGCCTGCAGTAAAGTAAAAGATGGAGCATTCCCATGCCCTGTGCTACTCCTGCTCATCCCTGGCAGTATTCATCTCTCTGCTAGGGAATCTCTTTAAGGATGGGGCCCGTTCACTCAAAACACCTGCTAGTCCAGGCATGGCAACACCATTACAAGCCCTCTTGATTTGTCTCAGTAGCTGTCCAGTGCTGAGCAAGTTGACCTTAAAAACCTCGATGACTTCGCACATTAAGAGCCCCTGATGAGATCCCTCTCATGGATCTATCCTAGATTAGTTTCCACTTAATTCATAGGGTATTAATCTTTTAGAAATTGTTTGCTGCCTTTAAGCTGCACTTTGCAAGAGGCTGAAACACCAAGGGAGCCGTGGGTTGTAGATCAAGTATATGTAATCCTTTCTGCATGAATATTTAAGGCTGAATTTGTGTGAAGCCAGCAATATTGGTTTCTAAGCTAAAGGTAAAATTAGTGGGGGCAAAAGAATAGGAATCAATGAAGGGACAGCAAGGGGGTGTGTGATCATACCATGCAATCTGGGATAGTTTTAAATCCGATTTAAAGCTGCAGTTCCCATGGTCTACCACTAGATGGCGATAAAACCAAAACGCTAAAGCTGACTCGGCTTTATCATCTCTTCCCACCGCAGCTGGAGGAGTTTCCCCGCACTACGCCACAGTCCAGCTCTGCCCGTGAGCCCAGAAGACACCACTTGTCCCTGCAAAGTCCAGCAGACTGATATCACCTCCTAACCACAAGTCGCAGTAGTTGGGCTCTGCTGCTGTGCTAGGAAGCACATTGCATAGGTGTACCTGCCAATGGCCGGTGTGCAAGGTAAGTGTAAAGATTGGGAGAGTTTTGCTGTTGCCAAATAGGGTCATTCATTGCCAGTCTTGCAGTGAGGCAAACCTGAGGTACCATGGTCCCAGCTGCAGAGGGCTCCAGGAGGGGACGCTTGCCTTTTCTTTTAAGGAAGGTCTCCACAGAGCATCCTCCTCATTATGGCACACGTACCCAGGCAGGGACTGCCACTTCCACAGTGATTACCGTTTCCCTCTAGCAAGACTTGAGTAGTCTGGAAGGGAAATCTTAAGTAGAACATTTAAAACGCCAAAATAAATGGGACTGCTTGAAGCACCGCGCTGCTCAGCAGGCGTCAGGAGCTAAATTATTCCAGAAGCACCGCGTGCCTGTCAGGAGCAATTCTGTATTGGCAGAGAGAGGATGGACAAAGCAGCCTGATAGATCCCTTCCTTCCATTCCAGCATCTATAATTTCTCTGTTAATCACTTGTAATTGTGTCCTACATGTCAGGACACATTTTGATTCCTTGCTTGATAAAGAGCTGGGGCCAGTAAGATTATTCAATTAATTGCACAGTCCAATACCTCCCCCAGCACCAAAACCTCTCATCCCAAATCAGCCAGGATTGTCTTTCTGTACCTCTGCAAGAGCCCAAGGGGGAAGAGAGCAGAGCAGAGAGAAACGTGCATTCCCCTCATTTAAAAAATGTGAAACACATTCAGGATGTGTAATAGTGTTGTAAATCTTATTTCCATAAAGTACCTCCAGGGCTAACTCACGAGCCATCAATCATATTCCAGCTTCTCCCAGCTGTTAACTCATCTTCAGGGCTTTTAATGAAAGATTTTGCATGCATTTTCTAAAGGCAAGTCATACCAACAGGAGCTGGCCTACTCGGAGGTGAGGTTTACATAGTCTGGAACAAAGACCACCTTAGAGGCTCCCAAGCCCCTGCCCGGCAGGTTTCACTCCCCAGCAGAGTCCTCCCCAGCTCTGAGCAGTGTTACCTCACCCTCCATTCAATGATGCCCCATGGTGATGAGGTTTGGCTAAGGGACAGGCAGTGATGTATTTCCAGGTCACTTCCTTTAAGCGCAATCTGATTTATTCCCAGCCAGTGCACTGCCATTGTTCAGTGACAGAACCTTTAATTATTCCTTTAAATCTCATTTCAAATTCCAAGCACTGCCTCCCTCCCTCCAGCCTCCTGGAATTATAATCTGATTGTGTGGATAAACACACTGTTTCCTTTTATCCCACCCGTCTGAAGGCTCTTCTCTCCAGGAAAGGCCTTGTTTCATCTCCGTGTCATGTTGGGGAGGTGACAAGCTCAAAAAGGCATGGGATCTGCTGTCTTGGGGACCAGGGAACACAATTGTCCCCAATCTGGGAATGCCACAGAACATCCAGAGAGATGGGATGCACCTCTTTAAAATGCTGCACATACAAATCTCCCTTGGCAAGACAAGTTGCAGCAGCAAGGTGACCAGGCACTGGTGTGCTGCATTACAATGTCTGTTCAAAGCTGTTCTCCACTGACATCTCCCCTGCCCCAATCTGCTCACTCATCTCATGGGCCTCACCAAGTCCTTGTCTCTTTCTGCTCCTTGCAAAAACAACCTCTCTGATAGCCAGGCCTGTACCTCCCCATTCAACCTGCATGATTTTTCCTCCAGATGAGCCTGGGATAGCAGGGGAGAACTGTCCTCATGTTAGCAGCCAGGCAGCAGGTCTGCCCCCAACCTCTTCTTTCCTCAAGCTCTTTTTCCATATGCAAAGCCAGATTTGGGAGTATTGCATTGTCTAAGTCCATCCCCCAAATCAACCTGCTGGCTAATCCTGTTTTAAGCATATTCCACATTCAAGGGAGCATCACTGTGGTTGCAGAAGACCTTCTTTTGCTCCACTTACTTGCACACGGTAACATTAAAACCAGCCTCAAGCTGCAGGAGCCCGGTTGTCAAAGTGGCACAGTCTTTCCAAAACCAGTTTCTTCTCCACTGTGAAGGCTATAAAAATTAAAAGCCAGCAGCTACTTCAAAAAGGGAAAAAGCTGGGCATCTTCCCAGTGTCAGGACAGGCAGTTTTCAGTAGTGGTGCTCACTCAAGGTTGTATTCTCAACTGATAACTCAGGTTTTCATTGATTTATTTAACCACTTAAAAAGCCCAAACAAACCAACTAATTTTAAAACTAAAAAAATTCTACTTCATACTGAAGCATCCAGGTGTTCAGAGCTGTTGTTTTCCAAGGGAAGTATTTAAAACTTTTAATTCCTTTTCTCAGCTAAAGTTAATCAGCAAATTCGCCTCATTTCCTCAAACTGTGTCTTTAGCAGAAGAAATCACTGGCATTGCTAAATCCAGAAACATTTTTCTTTCTTAAAAAATAACAAAAGAAGATGTGGGTAATAGAAAGCCAAGTTAAGCATAGGTGGGACCGCATTAAATCTAGACAGAGGCACAGTGCAAGGAGAGACATGTCTTAGTTTTTGCTGGAGGAGAAAAGATGTAGAAGTTTAGGTATAATTGTTGGTGGACAAATAAAGCCTCTGCTTGTGCAGCCTTCCCTGTAGTTCTTTTCCTTCCAGACCAGCTTTAACTTTCTACTCTCACCATAAGCAGTTGTGGTTTCAGTGCCCTCCAATGATCCAACATCTGGAATGGGACTAACAACTATTCCCAGCTTCTCTCCCAAGTGCTTTGCCATCTTGAAGGACCCTAATGACTGGTTTAAGGCTAGCAGGGAACCTCCAGCTGCTCACAAAATCCAAGCACCCTCCAGCACGGTGTGAACTTCCAGCCATCTGCATCAGAAGTGATGGAAAGCCAGCATCTGGACAGGCCATGGAACCAAGAGACTGTACTTGCACATCTTGTAAAGCTGCTACAAGCTGGTTGCTGCTGTAAAGCAGAGAGAGGTGGCCGGTATTGCCGGTGACCTGGCTCTAATCCTGTGCTGAGGACGCAAAGCAGAAGAGGCCTAACCTCACCACAAGGTCATGCAAGTGTGTGTAAGGATAAAGCAAGAAACCAAAACAACTGAGCAAGTCAGAGTC